TTCTTTCTTTCTTTCTTTCTTTCTTTCTTTCTTTCTTTCTTTCTTTCCTTCCTTCCTTCCTTCCTTCCTTCCTTCCTTCCTTCCTTCCTCCCTCCCTCCCTCCCTCTCTCTCCTTCCTTCCTTCCTTCCTTCCTTTTCTTTCCCTCTATTTGCACCATAGGGACATGTTGGACTGTGGTACCAAAACTCAGCAGAACTCTAGGACAGGGGTCTCCAATCGTGGTCACTTTAAGACTTGTGGACTTCAACTCCCAGAATTCCCCAGCCAGCCAGGAATGATAGAGTTGGAGGGGACCAGAAGGGCCATCTAAGTCAGGGGTCTTCAACCTGGGCCACTTTAAGACTTGTGGACTTCAACCCCCAGAATTCCCCAGCCAGCTGGCTGAGGAATTCTGGGAGTTGAAGCCCACAAGTCTTAAAGTGGCCCAGGCTGCAGAGCCCCGCTCTAGGAGCCGCATTTCTCAACAAATTCAGGAGTCCTCAATTTACAACCTTTCATTTAGTGACCGTTTAAAGTTACAACAGCATTGAAAAAAGTGACCTAAGACCGTTTTTCACACTTATGACCATTAACAGCATTCCCAAAATCCAAATTCAGACGCTTGGCCACTGACTCGTATTTATGACGGTCACCGTCTCCTGGGATGTCCTGGGATCCCCTCTTGCGACCTTCGGATGAGCAAAGCCAATGGGGAAGCCAGATTCACTTAACGACGGTGTTACCGCTTTAGGAACTGGCCTGATTCATTTAAATGGGGTCATCAAATGGGGCAGAATTCACTCAGCGACTGTCTCGCTCACCAATGGGCATTTTGGGCTGAATTGTGCTCGTAAGTCGAGGACTGCCTCTCTATCTGACTAAAAGGCCGGAAGTTTTCGGGAGACGCAGCGTCGCGTGGAGCCAGTCGCTCTGCCCCAAAGCTGCTGCTTTTTGCTGACTGGGGGAATCGGGAAAGAGGCTGCCGGAGACCCTCCCCGTTTTAACCTCTGGCCCTTTGGGCCCCAAAGAGGAAGGGAGCCCCCCCCCCCGAGTTGCTTGCCCCCTGGCCCCCTCCCATCGCGCCTGCCAAGGGAGGGGCCCAGGGTGGGTGTGGGGAGCGTGAGAGAGAAGCGGAAGTGAAGAGCCGTTTGCAGAAAGCTAAACAGGAAGCTAAACACGCTGGGAGAGCGGAAGGCGGCTTGGTGCCCCAGGCAGGAAGTCAACAGGGAAGCCCCCTCCCGCCTCATCACCGGGGAAGGAGGAAGCCCCACCCCCCCCCCACCCCCCCGGGACCCTTTTCTCAGTGGTGGGAAAAGTCAGGTTTTGAAAACCTTTAGGCGAGAAGAACCGAATGCACAAGCGTTAAGAGGCACCTTTTCAGGCCGGGGAGGGCTCAGCTCTTCTCCTGCCTTACTGTTGTTTGTTCCTACACACGGAGTCCTCGATTTACAACCACAACAGAGGCCAGAATTCCCGCTGCTAAGCAAGGTGGTTGTTCAGAGAGTCGTGCCCAATTTTATCATGTTTTGGGGGCAATGGTTGTTAAGTGAATCCGCCCCCCCCTCCCCCACTGACTTCGCTCGTTGGGAGCTGGCTGGGAAGGTCAGAAAAGGGGATGATCCCGTGACCCATCAGGACTCTGCGACCGTCATAAGTATAGGCCACTTTGCAAGTGGACGAAGTTTGGTCCCACGGCCCATCGGGATGCTGCAATGGCCGTAAACGTGAAAAACGGTCCAAAGTCATTGACAGGTACTTGAATGTTAGGAGCTCGGGTGGGAGGCTGGGCTGTTGTTGGTTTGAGGTCTGAGCTGGGCAGTTGGGCTGAAAATGTTTCGTCACCATTCGAGGAGACGCCGTCAGGGCGCTGTGAGTTGTGCTCGTCTGTTTGAAATCAGGTCCCGACTCAG